CATTTTTCTATTGTTTCGCAAAAACCGTTAAAAATTGCATTTTTTTGAATGAATACTCATTAGTATTATTGTCGCGTGAATTCACGGCTCAATGAATACTGGCTTTCGATCTGTCGTTCAATTCATTGTTAATTACGTCACGAAAGACGCCATCTTTCGGGCGAAACGCGAATTAAGATTTGACACAATTTCTCGCGAATTAAACGAATTAAAAATGATTTCTTTAATAATCACTTCCTTTTCACTCTTTAATCGTTTTGACTTTCATTTCCAATTAAATATCGGTTCCAAAGCTTTTGGCATTCATTCGCTTTTAACCCCGTTTTGAATTCGTTGCCATTGTTCGTGATCTCGAGATACGGAGCGATTATCTCTTCTCCTATTCGCCAATACTCTTCCCATTTGACGCCCGACTGTTCCGGCGGTGATCTGAAGCAAAGAAGCATTAATTAGGGGCAAAAACAAATGCAATAAAAACCCGTGTTTCGCGAAATGCGCCAAAAAGTGCATCATTTGCTCCGAGATCTCTCTCTCGCGCGCGCAATACTCCTCGGGATCGATGAAAGGGTTGCCGAACATCGGGAAGATGTCGTTCGTGTGACAGACGCCCATCCATTGCGAGCAGAAGAAGTTCACTGAAAGTTTGCTGTTGAACAGGTATTGCCAGACGCGGGCGCCGCCAATGAACGCGCGTCTCGCGAACTCCAGAGTGGGACACGAGAGGTAGTAGTCGCCGACAGCGATTCCCAATTGGCGCCGAATCGCGTCCGAAGAGTTTCGGTCGGAAAAACCCGAGAAATAGAGTTTCGCGACGTCTTCGCCGTTTACGCGCTTTTTTGAACACAAATTGTCCGCAATTTCTGTCAACTCTTGTTTCGCTTCCTCGAGAGTGAAGTTCTTGGGATTCGTGGCGTGGAACTTGTCGGGATCCGTCAACCACGTCAAGAGGAACGAACCCTCGTCCTCCACAGTGGACACCAAGAGATTGACGTTTCGCTTGAAGTCCTTCTCTTCGAGCATTTCTTTCGGTCTTTTGGGCAGAAATTTGCCGTCAATTACCACCAAATTGAACACTTTGACGGAACCGATCATCAGATCCGTGTCGTCGGTGATGGCCACCAGACGGCGCGCGTCCACTCCTCGCAAACACTCCATTATTTTTCTGGTAAACCTGCCGTCGCTCTCGGCGTCAACGCAGCCCACAGTCGCCGCCCCTCTCAGCCACCGCGTCACGTGATCCGACGGCGAGTCTCCCGAATAGTCGTACAAATGGGCGCCGGAGTTGACGATCGCGTTGTGGAAGAGGTGTCGCGAGACGGGAGAAATGGTGTGCAGAGAGACGCTCCACCCGCCGGCGCTCTCGCCGAACAAAGTGATGCGCGAGTCGTCGCCCCCGAAGTAGCGGATGTTGTCTTTGATCCACTCCAGCGCCAGCGCCTGATCCCACAAACCCACGTTGCCCGGCGCCTCCTCCGCGCCCGCGTACAGAAAGCCCAAAGCGTTCAATCTGTGGAGACATAGAATGAATGAAAAGCGGTTCGAATTGAGCGCCAAATACCTGTAATTGAGGGAAACGACGACCACGTCCTGCTTCGCGGCCAACACGTCGCCCTGGTAGTAGTGCTCGGAGGCCGAGCCCACGAGAAGGCCGCCGCCGTGGATCCAAACCATCACAGCCTTCGCTTCGGTCAAAGAATTGGTCCAAACGTTGAGAAAAAGACAATTTTCCGAAAAACTCTTTTCTTCCAAATAGTCTTCGATGTGAAACATCTGTCCATTCTGTGGACACGCGCTGCCGAAGCGGTGCGCTGTGATTGGCTGCGGCCAGTCGTCGATGGGGAGGGGGCGCCGGAAGCGCAAGTCCCCGACCGGCGGTTTGGCGTAAGGAATGCCGCGAAACACGAGCAATTCTTTGCCGTACTTTTGCTCTCGTTTTCCGTTCAAAATCCCGCCTTTTATGCGGACAGAGATTTCGCCGAAAACGGACGCAAAGAACGCGCAAACAATGAGAGGTTTGAAAAGCATTTTGAAGTGAAGTGTGAATTATTGTCGCGAGAATTGAAAGCGATTTGACGTGTGATTGGATTGAAGGCCAGAAACGCATTAAAGACTCGTTTTGTGAATATTTATCACTTAAACACGAAAAGTCATTAATCAGTGACAAAAAGCAGTTTTGTTTAAAAAACATGTTTTCATTCATAAACAAACATCACAGCAAATATCGGTTCCAAAGTCTTTCGCATTCATTCACTTTGAGTCCCACTTTGCGCTCATTCCTCGCGCTCCCGATCTCCAGAAACGGCGCCACGATTTGGTCGTTCGCGAGACGGAAGTACTGTTCCCACAGTTGAACGCCATTTCCATCCGAAGGCGAACTGAGAGTTCATTGAAAGCGAAATGTGTTTTTGTGTCAAAAACAAAACCAATTAGAAATCAATGACTAAACAGAAAAATATGGAAATTGAACCCATTTTTGGCGAAACTCGCGAGAAATGCAATCATTTGTTCGGAAATCTCTTTCTCTCTTTCGGTGAACTGTTCCCCGAATCGAAACGGAAGTCCAAACATCGGGAAGATGTCGTTGCCGTGACAGACGCCCATCCAATGCGCGCAGAAGGCGTTGGGGCCGAACTGCGCGTTGAAGAAGTACTGCCACACTTTGGCCGCGAAGTCGCTGTTTATAAACACCTGTTTCGCGAACTCCAGAGTCGGACACGAGAGGAAGTAGTCGCCGATCGCGACGCCGAGTCTTCGCCGCAATTCCGCGAACGAGTTTCGGTCGGAAAGTCCCGAGAAATAGAGTTTTGCCACAGATTTGCCGTCAATTGGGACCAAAGAGGAAGATTCTTCGGAAACCACTTTCAACTCGTGTAACGCTTCGGCGAACGAAAGGTTTTTCGGGTTTTGTTCGTCGAATTTGTCGGAATCGTAAAATCCGCTCAAAAGGAAACTTCCCTCGTCTTCAGTGGTCGAGACCAGAAGATGGATGTTCGCGGAAAAATCCCGGTTTCGCAGCATTTCTATCGGTCTCTCGGGAAGGAATTCGCCGTCAATGACGACCAAAGTGAACAACTTTATCGAACCGAACATCAATGCCTTGTCGTCGGTGATGGCCACCAATTCCTGCTCTTTCCGCGCAAACATCGCATAATCTTCGGCGAAAACGCTTTGTTCTCGTTGTCAACACATCCGATACTCTTCGCGCCCTTCAGCCACTTTGTCACGTGATCTTCGGGTCTGTCGTCTCCGAGATTATACAAATAGGCGCCGGAATTCAAAATCGCATTATGAAAGAGGTGCCGCGAGACGGGAGAGAGCACGTGCAGAGAGACGCTCCACCCGCCGGCGCTCTCCCCAAACAGAGTGATGCGCGAGTCGTCGCCCCCGAAGTACCGGATGTTGTCTTTGATCCACTCCAGCGCCAGCGCCTGATCCCACAAACCCACGTTGCCCGGCGCCTCATCAGCGCCCGCGTACAGAAAGCCCAAAGCGTTGAGTCTGTTGTTTGCGAGAACATTGTAATCGAAGAAACGTTTGGAAACGCGTTTCACCTGTAATTCATGGACACGACGACAACGTTTCCCTTTGCGGCCAAAACCGACCCCTCGTAGTAGAACTCCGAGGCCGAGCCCGCGAGCAGAGCGCCGCCGTGGATCCAAACCATCACAGCCTTCGGGCTCTCGTTGTTCGGCGACCAGACGTTCAAATACAAACAGTCTTCGGAAAAGCTCTTATTCGTGACACTCTTCTCGACGCCAAATATG